AGACAATCTTCAACCAACTCGTCGAGTTGTTCATCCAACTCGCCGAGGCCATGCCTATCTTCATCCGACTCGACGAGTTGTTCATCCTACTCGTCGAGTTCCTCCTCACCTTCAAGCTACTCGCCGAGTCCACTCGAAGGACTCGCCGAGTCTATCCATTCCTCAATCCATGCAGTGGCTTTTCGAGCCAAACTGAACTTCCAACTCCTAGATCCATACTTCTAGGGCCTATTCCCCACGTAAAGTGGCAAACTTTACGTGTAGATTGAGAGATCTAAGCTCAAAACACACTAAATTCGGGTTTATGGCAAACATGCTTCTTCAACATATCAAAGGCTGATACTTTAGGGGATTCTAGACCAAAACCAACATGGATCTGAGGTAGCAACCTCAGATCTGAACCTCCAACTCGAATTGGTTACATATCATACCAACAATGGCCAAAACCCACACATAAGAGTAGATCTAGATGAAAAAGAGAGTCCAAGCAACAACTTATTACCTCCACTTGGTCTGAAATGACTCCACAATCCAGATCTACAATCCCTTCTTGCACCTCCAAGGTCTTTCTTCCTCCTCCAAGCGTAATGCATTCTACAAGGCAAGATCTAGCTCCAAAAACGGAAATGGCGGCTAGGGTTTGATGTTCTGGGGTAGAGAGGCAATAAATGAACCCTAGGAAGGAGAATGAGACACTTAAATAGGCTCCAAGTTCCCGGGTTTAGGGTTTTCCCCGTTCAGACCCAACTCGCCGAGTCTCCCTGGCCGACTCGCCGAGTCGGTCGCTTTCACCACAACCCGGATCCCGCTCGGACTCGCCGAGTCCCTCCATGGACTCGCCGAGTCTCCCCTAAACTTGAGGTTTTCTTTCTTTTCTTGGCTTTCCAAACTTTGGGGTGTTACAATAAGATTTTCTGGAAAAAACTCAAATACTCTGTAGATTCTAAACTACCATCTTTCATGAGGTTATTTTGAATAAAAATGTGTATTTATACTAATGTCATTAAGTACTTATGAACTCACCAGCATTATAAAAATGCTGATACTCGCTTTCAAAATAACTTGTATTCTCAGGTCATCGATAGACAGGTACACCCCGGGAGCTTTTGCGAAGACAACCTTGTACCAAGCTGCACTTTATGTTATGTTCTGTATTTACTTTGATGTTGCTATGAAATGTATCCTATGTAAAATTATTACTATTAATGCAATGGTTGTTGTACTTTGATTACTATATTGCATATGTTGTGATACTTGACATGACGTCCTCCACCCCAGAACGTATTCCGCCGTTCTCGGTTTTAGGGTGTGACATTTGTCCTATCCTACCCGTTCGGCTAACGACCCTCCAGTAGTCAAGAGTGAGGTGGGTAAGAGTGGATACCCATTCAATCGCCATTTTATAGGTAATTTCCTTAAACACCCTTATAGATCAGCTTCTTGAATGAGGCCTACTAATGGTAAGACTGACACTTTACTCATATATATATATATATATATATATATATATATATATATATATATATATATATATAATATTAGAATTTCAATGTTACATATATATAGTTTAGGGTTTATTTTATACTTTTTAAAATACTAGGTGGTTTTATTAACTTTCTCTTTTAATTAACTTAACAAAACCAAAAGGGTGTAATTTGAACTTTTCAAAATACTAGGGTTTTTAGAATTTAACATTTCAAAATTAAACTTTTATTCAACTTTTAAATTCCAAAACTTGTGGGCAAGTTTTGAACTTTTCAAAACATTAGGGTTTAGAATTTAAATATATTTTAAAATTAAACATTTAATCAAAAAATTTAAATTCCAAAACTTGAGGGCAAGTTTTGAACATTTTCAAAACATTATAGTTCAACTATTTAAATTTTAAAACTAAAACTATTAAGCTCAAATTTAAACTATGAAACCTAAAGGGCTAATTTGAAACTTTTCAAACTATATCAAGAACATTCTAGATCAAAAAATTCAAATAAGACAATTAACAATTAATTGACGGTTATCTAATTTTGACATAGTCCAATTTCTTGCAAGATAATACACCAAATAATTCAAATAATTAAATTTTATCATATAAGGAAGTAATTATTCAATTAATATGAAATTATCTTTTATTTTAGCAAAGATAATCACCCAATATCATAAAAATCCCATTTCTATCAACAAAAACGTTTTGGTAATTATCTTACAACAAAAAATATGCAAGAAACCCGAAAAATCCTACATCTGAGCCTCTGACTCGTCGAGTTCACTATGGACTCGGCGAGTCAAGTCGAAAACCCAAAAAATTTTGATTTTCAACCAAAATTTGATGAAATAAGCATCAAATTCACTAAGAAACAACCCTAGGCTTTGATACCACTGATGGGTTTTGAGCATAACATCAATCCTATGGTGTTCATGCAATCCTAATAGCTTTTGGATCTAGTTTGTCTAATGAACATGCAATAGATTATCCCAAACCATAAACCCTAGATCTTACATATTATAAACTGAATTAGGGTTTAGGGAAGTACTTTTGATTGTTATGTAGCAATAACAATCTATTCCTTATTGTGATTGGCTTCAGAAAGTTTAGTGCCTCAAGTGTTGTACGTCTAATGGAGTCACAAACACCACTAAGCAACTTAGATGAAGAGGGAGGAGAGAGGAGGCACCAAAAACAATTGGAAACCCTAAAGGAAGTGTTCACCACATTTTTGGGGCCATAAGGGTTCCTTATATATGTTGGCTATTAGGGTTTTGAACTCAGGAAACGCTAATCTGACTGCTTAAGCCCTAAGCAGTCCATGGACCCATTCTGGAACATGCCTTGGACGATTTCTAATGGGCTTCCCCATAGAATTCGTCAAACCTATTATTCCAAGGTGATCCATAGCCCAAATGTAACTATCTTATAATTATAGTTCCAGTCCCCTAAGTTTAATTAATCTCTTTTAGTCACAAAATTAATTCTAAATTAATTCTTGACTAATATTAATTAAACATTATGATTTCTCCTTTAATATATTATTCTCATAATATATTAATAAATCATAATTAATCATTTCTCTCCTTAATTCATCACATATATTGCTATGGTGAAGGCAACCCAAAAGGACCATGCTCATAATCGGGTCAAGTATACACTAAAATACTTATGGACTTAAACACTAATCCAAAATGAAGGTAGTGGAAAATAAAGACGTTTATTGGTATTTATAGTAGTTGATGAATAGTTTAAACTTTGAAAATTTGAAAAAAAAACGGTTATATTTTGAGAAATGGAGTATTTTTTTGGAAGTGAAAAAGGAGAAAAAAAAACAAAAAAATCACACACACTCACTCATCTACAACCGGTTGCCTCGTTAACCTTCTCAACTAGACATGTCGAAATGAGGGTGTGGTGTTTAACATCTACATTAAATCATTGGAATATGTATGCTTTGTTGGTTTGAAGAAATTAAGGCACATGATACAGATACAATTCACTTGTTATCAAAACAATTATGTTTATGTGACTTCTAAATATCATCTAAATTTGTTTCTTTTCTTTTTCGTATTTTAGGTATTGTGATGGGTAGCGATTTTTCCAACCAAGTGTTTATCACGAGTTTTATAATTTTAGTTGTTATTATGATCTTTGTTCAATGAAACTGTTTTTTGTGGGTTGTGCTGCTAAACATTAATACGTATTAATTTTAGATGCATATTAGTTGTTCGATAAAATATATGAACTACAAAATATTCAGAAACTGCCGTTGCCATCTGCAACTGAGCATTGTTCATGGTAACCATCTGTTAGGGAAAGACACTAATCCTTGGTAGTACGTATTTCAACTTTATTGTGACCATTGCTTGAGCTTTTGCATAAAACTTTAGGCCCTAAAATAGAACCCTATAATGTTTGTAACGAGCTACTTAGATCCAACATAGAGAACACATTTTCGTACAAGCACGATGTTTATTATAGAAATGTTTTCAGTGTGAATAAAAAAAATTCTTTTCTTACACCAGACAAGTCACAAATTTTGTTGAGCATTACATTTGGAATGTCACCTTTCGCCATTCATTTTGATGATTTTTTTTTCTTTCCCAGTGGGAAAGGATGGTAGCTTATCATATGAAGCGTAAATTTTACGATGATTATATATCAAGAACACAAAAGAGCAACTATATGATGAACCTTAATTTTCAAGCACATCTCGTTTCTAGTAAATATTTTTTTTCCTGGATAATGCTCTTAAAATTTTGTAAATCGTATGCTAATTTTGTGTTACTATGGTACTTTGTCAATGCCCATTAATTCATTCCATTTATTTGAATTTTCATACCCCCATACCAAACAAGTATTATTGACTTGCTTACATTTGAGTAAACAAACAAGACAATCATATGATAATAATTCATTCATTCAATTACCTTACCATTCCATTACTTAATTCATTTCATTCCATCCATCCAAACACACCTTGACACTTAATAAATTCTCATCCTGAACAATTGGTTTCCATTAAATTATTCAATTATTCATCTATAATTCTTAAATGTTCATCAATGCATCAAGAACTTGAAGAGACATGTAATATATGAAATACTTTTAATTATCAAACTAGGATTCAATTCTTAAATATGACTATTCACAATAGCATAATGAATGTATAATTCTTGGACCCTATAGATGCATATTCGTTTCACTTACCAAAAAACAGTTGTATGTTATCCGACGTCAATTTGTTAATTTTTTTTGGAATGCCAAAGATGTGTTCATATGTCGACCGATAGAGATCTACTATGAGGGGGATTTGAAGTGTGCCAAAAGTTGCAATCGGGACCGAAGATAATACACAAATTGGAGCAAGCATCCATTGTCTTTTATGAAAAAAGAAAAGGAACAACGTTGCCCCAAAGGCTACCATCATGGCAGTTGTAGATAGCATCAAGGCACAAAGACCAATCATCAGTCGTCTTGGAAAAGTGAAGAGAAAATCTCTCTCATCAAAACTTCATGTGAGGATGGACAAGAACATCAGTAATGCTATGCTGGATGCAAATAGTGAGATTGCATCTGTTATTGCAAAGATCGTGAAAGCAATTTCTTTTGTAAACACAGGGATGCCTATTTCTTGATTGCTTCCACCTGGTACTACTGTAATGGTTGCCGCAAACACGTGGGAACACGAGCTTCTCCATTTCCTGTAAAATATAAAACAAAAAATAGATTTTTTCCCTCATTAGAAATGTTGAAGACTTTTTGTGAACGGTATATAACTGCTAACTGTATATCGTCATACACACTCTCATCTTTATGTTGAATTGCTTCAGGGGATCTCATTAAAATCTCATCAACAACCTCATAAATACCATGACATGCGGCCTCAAGAACCGGTCTGGTGTGATAGTGAGCATCATTTAATTTCGACTTCTCTATTTCATCACATACCAATTTTAGAACTTCTTTTGCTGCTTTCTGTTCCTTCATTTTCTTCTCCATATGCTTAATGGGTGGAACTGAAAGTTGGAAAATAGTTGGTTCAAAACAATCATCAATTTTATATTATATAGAAGTTAACTGTAGTTTAAACGCAACTGATATAAATTGAGTCATTTTATACCTACTCTTGTTGCAACCTTCCAGAAGATGAAATAAAACATAAAGAATGGAAAATAAAGAATCAGTATGAGTAGGCAAATCATGATATAAATCTAAGCAAGTATGACATATGGACCTGCATAAACAGAAAACTTTCATTTTTAAAATAGGTTATATTTTGCGATGTCAATTATATGATTAATTTTGGTGTTATATTAACAGGTTATATATCAATAGCTCACCCATTAACGTCATGTATAGTAGCATTTGTCCACAACCAAAGATCACTTCGGTAGGTATATCTTCTATTAAACACATCATGCCTTCATAGTAGTCTACTAATATTTTAAGGGAAAATGACTTAAAAGACCAATTTAGTTTCAAAAGCATCAATATGACCCCGATTATCTTTTTGTTGTTCAAGAAACACCAACGAAGAAATGTTTTTTTATTAAAAAGCCAAATACAGTTAACAGTAAAATTAAGGTTTTTAAAAATTTACCGGCATCTTGCAGGTAAACGATTGGGGGTAAATGAGTTGGCATATATATGTGGTGTGTTGGCATATCAACATGGCTTTAGTGTAAAAGTTACATATTATAAGTAGATATAGGGCATAATGGGGGAAACGGATTCTTAATCAATCGACTTCTTCAATTGACTTCTTCAACATGACTTCTTCATCTCGATCCTCCAACTCATGCTCAAGGTCAAAAGTTTCCAAGTCAAAGAGCACAATTGATAAGGAAAATCCTTGTGATTGTGGGTTTCCTTCTTGTATCTGGATATCAACAACAGAGGCAAATCCTGATAAAAAATTTAGGGTTTGTCCTAACTCTTTGGTAAGTGTATCTAAAAGCTTGTTCTTGTTTGGGTCCCTTCTTGTTTTTCATGCTACAATATTGTTTGTTTATGTTAATTGAAGATGAAGGATCCAAAGGATAAATGTGATTTCTGGGAATGGGTTGATGAAGATGAAGAAATTATAACCAAGAACAAGAATAAGAAAGATGAAGAACATGATTTCAATAGTGAAGTGAAGATTGCAATATCGGAACATGATTTCAGTGAATACAATGTGAAGACTGATATGGAATGTAAGAGTTTTAGAAAGGATTTGGATAAAATGAAATGTTTCTTGTTGATGTTTGTTGTTTTGTTTGTAGTGAAGTACATGATGTAGTGTTAATGTGATTATGTAAGGGAAATGTACTTTGAAATTATTGGGATATGTATCTTCAAAGTAGTTTCATTGAACTCATGTAATGTGGTTATGAAGTGGGAATGAAAAAAAGGTGTTTATGAAGACTGATACACATAATAGCATTGCACTTTTATCAAATGATAATAGCTGGGCAAAATAGTCCATAAAACTGTTTGAAATTATGTATGTAATTTGTGTTTAAATGGTCTTTCAACAAAAGGCGAAAATTTGACCATAAAACTGTTTCAAACTATTTTAACAGTTTTGAGTGATCACAATAGGTGCAAAATTTTCCATAAAACTGTTTCAAAGAGTTTTGAGTGATAAGAGCAATGCAATACACATAATTGTCCACAAAACAGTTTTAACATGTTTTCATGGGCAAAATGGTCCACGTAACAAGCCCCACAAAATTGTTTCTACCAATTTTAACAAATAAGGGCAAAATGGTAAATTGTTATAATATGCATAAAAAGTAATAAACTACATATTAAGCATAATTAAACCACATACTCATGCATGTGCACATGGCACTAAATGTTGGTAAATGTGCACAGCACCAAAAGACAAGCCTAAGCATCAAAATACAAGCCTAAGCACCAAAAGATGTGCACTAAGCACCAAAAGATGTGCCATTTCATAGTATTTGACATAATCCTAATACAAAACACCTATCCTATTTTAAAGTGATTGGATTTTCATGGCTTTCCCCACTTCCATCTTTTGCTACCACCTTCTTCCTTAACTTCAGTTTCGTGATCCTCTCAAAAGGCAATTGCCTTTTGTTGGAACCAAAATGCTGAAAAAAAAAACAAGTTGATGCTGATGGTGGTCAACTTCATCAAAAACATGTTTATAGTAGGCAACTTCAACAACAGCTTCATGGTGGTCAACTTCATCTTGAACAACTTCAACAACAACTTCTTGGTGGTCAATTTCATCCTTCTGGTGGTCTTCAATATCACCTTCTTCAACAGCCCTTTCTTCACCAACCCCATCGTCACCAACCCCTTCTTCAACATCACCTTCTTCACCAACTGGTTCTTCACTAACAGTTTCTTTATTTGTTGCATTGTTAAAACTAATAAATTTATGATTATTCAAATACAGATGAATTAATAATCAAAATAAAAATCAACCTTCAGTGAGCAATGGACATCACCTCTTGTTGTGTCCTTTTTGATGACAGTTACTACATCTTGAGATGGATATCCCTGTCTTGTTAATTGTATGCCTTCCTTCATTCTCTGTAGAACATTTCCTTCTGTTTACTTTGGGCCTTCCTGGCATTCTCCTACGCCTAGGTGGTAATATGGGATCAAATAGAACATCAAGCCACATGTTAGCTCCATTAATTGGTTTGACTGGATACCTATAGCAACTTCCAACCATGCTTGTTTTGAACCATACTACTATAGAGTCCTCTACATTTCCATTCAGGTATAATATTGCAACAATGGCATGCACACAATGGATACCACTGAGTTGCCAGGCTCTGCAACCACAAGTTTTGCTTTCAAGGTGAATTGCATAAACTTCATGGGCTAATTTCACTTCATATTCCTACTCACCACTTGGAACAACATCCCAATACCTTTTATGAAATCATATTAAGAAGGTAAGTTATTTCATATTAAATCACTTACAGTTAAAGAATATACCTTTGTTGTTCTTTCATCTTCTCAATCCTCTTTCTAATAGAGGGGCAGATTTCCATGTCCCACTTATGCCCCTTAAGCTTTTGATTGTACATCCTCTCCATCTCGTACAACTTGATTTCTTCCAGCATTGTTATTATTGGTTTCTTCCGGGCCTCTACAATTGCTGCATTGAAAGATTCAGATATATTGTTTTCCATGGCATCACAACAACTCTCAGCTTCAAAGAATGCCCTATACCATGTGTTTGGGTCTCTTTCTACCAAATGCTCATAAGCTTCTGTGGACATTGTACGAATTTCCCTCATGTATGAGCGGAAAGTGGAGTCGGTTGTAGCCTTTGCATCCCTCCAAAATAACCTCCTAAACTCAACACCCGTGAACCCCTTCTTCTTAAAGTTGGCAAAGATGTGTCAGGCATAATTCCTATGCTCACATGATGGTGCCCTTTCCTTAACAGCCTCCATCAAACCCTACAAGGTGATAACAAATTTCAGTTGTAAAATAAAAAATAACACATAATGTAGTAAGTAAAAAGAAAACTAACACACACCTTATGTTGGTCCGAAATAATTGTAAGACCCCTACCATCTCCCATCTCAATGTCCTCAAGTAGAAGATCAATGAATCACATCCAAGTTTCCTTATTTTCAACTGGCACAACAGCCCATGCTAGAGGGTACATTTGGTTGTTTGTGTCTCTACCAACGACTGTTAACAACTCACCTCTGCAAATACCTTTCAAAAAACAGCCATCAACACCGATAACCCTTCTAAATCCTTCAATCCATCCATCATTGACAGACTTCAGGCAAATATACATGCTTTTGAAGTAGTGTGTAGCATCAGGCATATGATTTGTCTCGATCAAGACTGTTGACCCATGATTAATCCTCAATAACTCAGCACCATAACTCCACAGTTTCTCATAATGGCTTACCAAATTTCCTGAAATCTTATCTAGTGCAAAGTACTTGGCATTTCTACACTTCCTAAGACTTACCTTGAGACCATAGTCTTTCCTAACCACTTCTGCCATTTTCCTATAGCTAAACCGAGGCCTTTCCAAAATGTAAGGTATTAACATTTTTCCAATCCACTTATACGTAACAAGACACCCCAATTTTTGTTATCTAACACAATTATGTTTATCAATTAGTGACTTGATCTGGAATGAATTTTCCTTGTTCATGGGACTAGCCTATAGTCTAAAAGGACAAGATGGCTTCCCTTTTTCATTTTTATTGCACCTTACTAACAATGTTGTTGCCTCATTTTTTTCATACCACAAAGCATAACCCTTTGACATAGCATAATTTGTTAACATATGTTTTAGTTCATCTCAATCAGAGAATCTCATACCTAACTCAGGCATCATAGTATCCCATTTTTGGTTAGGATTATGAATAGGATGTTTTTTTACCTTATCACGAGCTTCATCCTCCGTGTCTCTTTCTTGAATAACATTCTTCTGAGACAAAAAAGGATCAACAACTTCAGGCCACTGAATGTCCTCATCATCAGCTTCATGGTCCACCGATAGATCATCCGACAATACCGAGTCCACATCTTCTTCATATGTTTCAGTACCACTGTCCCATTCTTCAGCTTTCTCTTCTTTAATCCAATCTAGTAAGGGTTCATGATAGTCATCAATGTAGATACTGATTTGATTATCATCATCATCAAACCCAACATCATGGAACCTAATATAATCATCTTCATCCCTGAGCTCCCTTCACCCATCTACGAGGGACCGATTTTTAAGACAATAATACATATCCCGACATCTATTGTTGATCAATTTTTGGAGATAGGTCTTGAACTCCTTAAATTCCATGTTACGTACATCTAGCCCCATAATAGGTAATTTATCTGGATGGAAGTAAACAAAGGGATTTGGAGAAAAAACACCTTTGTGATAGACATCAATGTTGACTGAGTCACGAGACATGCTTGCTGCACAATCGACGAACTCTCCTTCACCTTCTGTAAAAATCAATTTCACTATCAGTTTTGTAGATTTCACCGTTGTATAAGAACCCTAGATATCGGTTTCACCCTTCATTGAGAACTCTAGATGGTGAAATGAAATCCCTTGAGGCATTTATGTTTCCACCTAATTTGTTTTAATAATCCATGTCAGATTTACCCTTTGATCACTGGTAAACAAAGAACATAACCCACAGATGTCTGTCAAATTTTAAAAACCTTAATTTTATTGTTAACTTTATTTGACTTTTTAATAAAAAAACATTTCTTTGTTGGTGTTTCTTGAACAACAAAAAGATAATTGGGATAATATGGATGCTTTTGAAACTTTATAGATCTTTTAAGTCATTTTCCCAATATTATATTCGATACGTGCACTAATTAGCCTCGGCTTTATCTTTTTTCTTACACTTTTCTTTTCTAAAGATATTCCTACTACGTACGTATATAAACAGATAAGAGCATTACTAATTAATTTCTTAATTTTTTTTTCAACGCCAGAGCATATACTGGTCAAAAGGATAGACCCGGCAGGGAACTAGAGACAGAATATAATGTTTGCCCCTCTTTACAATATACTAAACTGCACCAGTCCATCTAATAATCCTGGAAAGTTATCGCTAATCAGCACCAATAAATACTATACCTAACATATCAACATAGAACAACTACTTTATTAATTTTCTTTTTGAAGGGGAGGGACATATGGTTTCTCACACCAAGATATATATATCTAAGATATCTTTGATGTATTCCATATTATTCGCATTAGGTTCACTCCACTTTATCTTTTTTCACTCACTCTTTTCTTTTGTTCGTGAGGCTACATGGTATGGGAGCGTTTCCACGCGTCTTGGGCTGAGGTGGCACCCTCTCTCATGCGTGAACACCGCCCCCAAGTCCGGTGGGCTGCGTCTGGCGTGAGGCGGAAGACGGACGAAGACGAGCGATTTGATTGGCCAGCTTGATTTCCGAACGTTACAATCGACCGTTATATCGATTAACAAAAAAAAAAAGTTATTCTTTATTTTTTCAACTTCTCTATATGTACATCCACTTTATTCACAATTTCCACTAAACCACACCCACATTTTTCAAAACAAACACACACATCAAACCAAAAAATGGATAATTTTCCACCTCCAATTTCTTCGTCTTCCGATAATAACGATTCCGATTCCGATTTGATTTTGTATACGCTGTTATCGGTGGCACGAGACGTGGTACGTGAGAGGGGCGAAAGTTCAAACGTGGAGAAGAGGCATAGAAAATGGATCAACCGGGATCGAGAGGCGGCACATGAACTTTTGGTACGTGATTATTTTGCCGTTGATAGTTTATATGATCTATCAAAATTCGAAGAACGTTTTCATATTAGTAGAAATTTATTTTTATGTATAGCTAGAGATTTGGCACGTAATTATGAATTTTTTCAATTATGATGGGATGCTAGAGGTAAACGTGGTTTTACTACGATACAAAAATGTACAGCTACTCTTAGACAATTGACATATGGCATCACCGCATACGCATCAGATGAGTATCTGAAAATGTCTGAAAGGACAGATCAAGAGTGTACATATTTATTTTGTGAGTATGTCATAGAGTTTTATCGTGACATATACTTGCGACATCCGACTAAAAGCGATGTCAAGCAATTGTATGCCACGCATCAAGCGAAACATGGTTTTCCAGGGATGCTTGGTAGCATTGATTGTACACATTGGGAGTGGGAAAATTGTCCCAACGCGTGGCGTGGGCAGTTCACGCGAGGTGATCATGGGGTGCCGACTCTTATTTTAGAGGCGGTGGTTTCAAATGACCTATATTTAACGATATGCTCCAAGCGTCTCCGATATTTGGTTTAGTTGGGTCAAACAATGACTTGAATGTGCTCCAAGCGTCTCCGATATTTAACGATATTTTACAGGGTAAAGCACCAGAAATGCCATATGTTGTCAATGGAAATGAATACAAATATTGGTATTACCTAGATGATGGGATATATCTAGAATACGCTACATTTGTCAAGTCATACACATTTCTGGCCGACGATAAACGGAAAATGTTCATGTTAGCACAAGAGTCTGCAAGGAAGGATGTAGAACGGGCGTTTGGAGTCCTCAAACAAAAGTGACACATAATCAAACATCCGGTACGAACATGGGATAGAGAAAAATTGACGAAGGTGTTGACTGCTTGTGTTATTTTACATAACAAGATAATAGAAGAAGTGGGTAGGGCTATTTTCTCATTTACCACAAACGATATACTTAACCCACCCGCAGTAATTGTAACACCTAGAATCAGAAAGACCAAGAAAGGAAAGGAAAACCCTAAGTCAAAGGGGTCAACTCGTCGAGTCCATAGGTGAACTCGACGAGTCGGAGCGGGATCCAGGTTATTGATTAAGTGACCAACTCGGCGGGTCGGCGAGTGGACTGGGCGAGTCTGGTCTGGACGAGAAAAACCCTAAACCCGGGAGTTGTGTCCTATTTAAAGAACATTACATCCCCTCCTCAGCCTCTTTACTCCCCTCTTGAGACCCAAAAACCCTAAATCGTGAGTGAAAGCCCTTGGAAGCAAATTAGAACCTTGATAAGGAGTTTTGTGAGGAGACATTGAAGATCAAGAAGCTTGGAGCAAGGGGCTTTGCAGATATTTGGATTACTCCTCAGTGGGAGGTCGTCTTTGAGGTAATAAGCTGTTGCTTTGGCTCTATTGCAATTAAAACTATCATATGTATGGAGTTTGGGGCATTTTGGGCATGTTAAGGAGCCAATTCGAGTTAGAAGTCCAGATCTGAGGTTGCTACTTTAGATCTAGGCTTGTTTTGGTCCAGGAACCCATAAAGTATCAGTCCTTGGTTTGATTGTGAAGCATGTTTGTCTCAAACCCTAGCTCAAGAGTGTTTTAAGCGTATGGCTCCTTAGTATCACGTAAAGTTTGCAACTTTACGTGAGGAATAGACTTTGGAAGAGTGGATATATGAGTTGGAGCCCCTGCATGGCTTGAAAAGCCACTGTATGGATTAAGAACTGAAGCAACTCGGTGAGTCACATGGGTGGACTCGGCGAGTTGGATGAAGATGGGCAGGGACTCGACGAGTTGGAAGAACAAATCGGCAAGTCTGTTGAAGATGGTCGTGGACTCAGTGAGTCTGTTCTTGGACTCGGCGAGTCAGGTCACGAAACCCCAATCCCTTCTGGTTAAGGCTCAGATCAGTGAGTTGAGTGGTGACTCAGTGAGCTGGACAGGATGGGAATCAGAGATCGTCGAAGCCGACGAGTCTTGGGGTGACTCGGCGTGTTGAGTCGCATTATGAGAGTTTCAGAGTATAAGGACTCTACGAGTCAACGGGTTGACTCGGCGAGTAGAGTCAGCCAGGAAGATTGACATTGACCATGACTTTGACTTTGACCAGAGTTGACTTATTTTGGCTTCTAGAGTTCAGTTTAGAACTAAGTGATATATATATATATATATATATATATATATATATATATATATATATATATATATATATATATATATATATATATATATATATATTGGTAGCTCGGGGAGCTAGTGGAGCAGGTGTTCAGAGAATTGTCGGACAGCAGCAAGAGGGTTGTCAGCAAGTTCAGCAATCCGGGTGAGTTTCCCTTTTGTGTGACTGGGTATATGGCCACAATGCCGACCTATGTAGTTATGAGTAGGAAGACCTGGGGGTTAGCCCTAGGCACTATTTGCTAGTATGATATTCAGGACCAATGTCCGCTGTCGGGCGGGTGCCTAAGGAATGGTTTGCATGATAGAGTATACTTGTTGTCTGTGTGATGCATGTATGTGCCTGGTAGGGAGGTGAGTGTGGGCGATGTCCCGTATCTCACCAATAGCAAAGTATGGACGGTGTTCCATATCTCATTAGCATCAGAGCAGGGGCGAGGCCTGAGATAGGAATGGAGTGAGTGTGGGTGGGGGCCCGTATCCCACTTATAGCAGGAGTTTGGATGGGGTTCCATGAGTCACTAGTAACAGGGTAGGGGCGAGGCCCAAGACAGGTGAGGCCTTAGAACATGATTCTGTAGTATATGTTTAGTTTATGTGTTGTGGTATGTTTATGTGTTAGTTCATATTAGCGGGCAGGGCCCAGAGACAGGCGGGGCCTAAGAGAAACAGATCTGTATCCGAGCGGGGCTTGAAGCCAGGCGGGGCCGTTGTAGCGAGCGAGGCCCGAGGTAGTGGGCAAGGCCCAAAGTAGCTGGCGTGGCCCAGTATCTGCAATATGTGATTATGTAGGGTATGTGGTAGGTTGGGGAACTCACTAAGCTTTGTGCTTTTGATTTTCATTTTTAGTTTCAGGTACTTTCGATAGCGGAGGGAAAAGATCGGGGTGATCGCATGACACACACCATTGATTAGATAGCCTTGGATGTTTTACTCTGATAATGAAAATATGTTTTGGAATTAATACTCTGAATTTATGTTATGACTTATGATATGGTTTATATAAATATGGTTTTAGTAATGTTTAAAATAAAATTTTTAGTCGTGATTTTTGGGACACTACAAGTTGGTATCAGAGCCTTGGTTTGAGGAATTCGTGCATACTTTCGGGTTTGTCTGAACTCAAACTAAGGAATTGGTATAGAAGTTTTCAAAATGAAAAGACATTTTTGTAAAAAGAGTTTTTAGAAAGGAAACAGTTTTAGAAAAGCGAAAGGAATTCAGAAAGAAATGAACTTTGATAAGAGAAAAGGGTGTGGTGCATGCAATCAGTCGAGTTCAAGTAAGTACCCCAAAATACCCGTACAAGCTTATGTTATGATTATCAGTTAGTACAACAACATGCTACATTAGGACTAATGATCTAAGGAGGATACCTTATGTGCCTGCTATATGTGCTTTTGAGTTGCATGATAGTACTGGTTAGACAGTAGTAGGGTAGCCTGTTTAGGCTATGCCTGAGTATGTGAG